GGGGGGGGGGGGGGGGGGAGAGTGACAGCTCAGTTTGTCCCCACTGGGGCTGGGGAGCTGGGCTTTTAGATGCCCACACCAGCCAGTCATTGCCTCAGGGCTGCCCCAGGAGGACATACGCTCCGTGACACTTTGGAGGCAAAGCAACTTTTTGAAGAGAGTCACAGATGCAGGCCATTAAAATGGAGGCCCATGGAAGCCAGGGATGGACACAAGAGGCAGTAGGAGGGATCTCAGAGGATCTGGACGAGCTCCTCCAGGGTCCACCTCACACCCCGTGGGTTGTTATGAGGATTAGGTGACATAACTCATTAAAGCCCTCGACATATTGCCTGGCCCATGCTGAGTGCTCCAAGGATAGAATCTGCTGCTTTTCTTGTGGTTCTTAGCAGATGGGGGCTACCAAGCCTGAGGGTCGCAGCAGGCCACTCTGAGGCCCTGGGGTTCCAGAGTCCTTCATCACCGGGGGCTCCTTTTGCACCCTCTGTGCCTGGCCGCATGCTGTGCCCTTTGTGAAACCTTCACCCTTTCCCGGCAGCTGCAGTCCATGGTGGATCTCCTGCAGGGCACCCTGTACAGCATGGACCTGATGAAAGTACACGCCTACGTCCACAAGGTGGCCTCCCAGATGGACACGCTGGAAGAGGTAAGGGCAGGACTCCAGCCAGAGGCCAGGCTGGGGCAGTGCTGGGGTCCCAGGCGGTGTCCAAAGGGGCCTGGGCACTTTTGGCTTGACCCTGATGGCCCTGGGAAGCTGGACTCCAGCAGGGAGTTGGGGGATGGAGGTGCGGCATTTGGGGAAGATGCCTGACTGTGGCTTGAGGGCATGCAGGAAGCTGGAAGGCCAGGTGGGGAGGAACCGAGGCACCTACTTGTTGAATGAAAGGGTGCGGAGGGGACTGGAACTCACAGTTGCCTTCAGTGCACCAAGGTCAGGGCCCACAGATTGTACAACTGTGGAGACACTATTCACATAATATACCATGTCAGTGGTGTCCCTGGGGCAGTGCAGTATGGCAGGACTGGGCACACCCACTGGGGGCCAACCCCATGAGGTGTGTAGTGACTATCCCAGAACCCACCTGCGGTAGAGGCAGAGGTGCCAAATGTCGTATCCTGGTCAGAGTCAATGTGCTATAGGGCTAGGCAGCAGCCTGGACTGTCCCCTAGGGACAGGGACAGAGTTAGGAGAGCTTGGGGGTCTAGGCTGCAGGTTCAAGGTTTTCATCTCTACTGGCACAGCCTGGCCTCTGCCTGTTTCCTGCATCCGGCCTCTGCCGAGTCTGGGAGTCTGGGGACGTGCAGCTGCCACGAGTGGGCGTGGGGGCTTCCTTTCCCAGTTTCCTTTAGAGAGGGAGGGGGCACCTGGGTATCCTGTGCCCCAGGGTGGGAGATTAACCCCTTACTAAACCCAAAGTTAGGGTCATGGTGGCTTTCACTATTCAGAGTGTTTGGTGAGTACCTGCTATTGGCCAAGCCCATGCCAGAATGGAAGAAAGCTGACATTTGACGAATTTCTTCTGTGCACCAGTATTTCCTGTGCACCTAGTATGTGCCAGGCTTTCCTCTCTCTTGCTGGTTCTGAAGTTATCCTCCTTTGACCTTTCCTTTTGTAATCTCAGGAAATAGTAACTCATTTCATATAACTCTGAATCACATGATCTGGAGGGTACATTTGCTGGGCTGGAACAAATCAGAAATGATTTCCGCAGCCACAGACAAATGATTTTTTAATTGTCTTCTGTTTTGCATTATCTGTGCTTTGCTTCCGTTAAAGCATGGTTTACTAAGTGATAACCCTGGGGTCGGGGAGGAGCTTTTTGCCAACCCTGGTAGGAGGTAGAGAGAACAGCCTCTCTTGGGAGGAGCTGCTCCCTCTGACAAAGGCAAAAAACCTCCCAGGGCCTCAGGCAGCAATTTGGGGTCCCAGCTTCCCTCTGCTCTCTTTTCTTACACCAGTGGTTCCCATCCAGGGGTTATTTTGCAACCCCCCTCCCCCCACAGGGGACAGTTGGCAACATCTGGAGACATTTTTGTTTATTTGTGTTTGTCATAGCTTGGGCGGGAGATAGGGTGGATGCTACTGGGTTCTAGTGGGTAGAGGCCGGAGATGCTGCTAAATACCCAGCAATGTACAGGACAGTCCCCAACAACAAACAACTGTCTGGCAAATGTCAGTAGTGCTATAAATGTCAGTAGTGCTGAGGTTGAGAAAGTCTCCCTTACACACTCTGACTTCCGTCTTCCCAGGTATCTAATTTAAAATGTACTTTCATGTTCCTTAGCTTTTCTGGTCCTTGCAGTGACCCTTCAATGTAGTTTTTTTTTATGATGAAGATCCCATTTTACAGGCAAGGAAACTGAGACTCAGAGAGGTCATTAGTCCAGGGTTACCCAGCCAGGAAGGGGAGAGCAAGGATTTGAATCCAGGGGTGTCTGACTCCTGTCTGCTGCCTCTTCATCCATGAATCTGAGTCACCCAGGGCTGCCTGGACATAAATCACTTTTAGATTATCTTCTCCTCTGTAACAATTTCTGTGAATGAAATTCTGAACTCAATTCCGATGTTCCACCGCTTCTCAGCAAGGTGGTGTTTCCTGTATCTGACGCCAGTCTCTCCTGCTTCAGTTGAGAAGCAGACTCAGACGAAGGAATCCCACGTGTACCCGAGACCTGCTGGGGCTTTGGGGCCCTGGAACTGATACCTTCCAGGCCACTCAGGTTCCCTGAGTCCTGCAGAGTGGACAAGGCCAACCTGGGCAACAGCCCAGAAAAGGGGAGCCCTAGGGAAGGGGGATTCACAGAGCAAAGAGCACCATGTTTTGAGCAACAGGATTCAGAGCCAGAAGTAAATTTAAGGGGTGGGAGCTGCTGAAGCTAGACGGGGAGCCAGGGCCCCCAACAAGAGGGAGATGAGGAGTTGCAGGGGAACAAGACCAGGAGGGGGTGAAGGCAGAGATCCGGGCCACACGGCCCAGGGCAGAAGTCCAAGACGTGGAGGGACCAGAGGCTCACTCACAGCAAAACCCCAAAGAGTGTCACTCTGTCTACACTGTTTGAGTATTTTATAAAAAGAAGGAATTTATGTATTTATGTATTATGAAATTAAATCATACAATCAGCCCTTCAGATCAGTGGGTCCCGCATCCATGGATTCAACCAATCACAGATTGAAAACATTGGGAAAAAAAATCACGCATCTGTACTGAACACATGCAGACTTTTTTCTTAACATCGGTCCCTAAGCAATACAGTATAACAACTATTTAGATAGCATTTGCATTGTATTAGGTATTATAAGTAATTTAGAGATGGTTTAAAGTATATGGGAGGATGTGCAGAGGTTATATGCAAATTCTGCACCATTTTATATGAGACTTGAACATCTGCAGATTTTGTTATCCACTGGGGGACCTGGAATCAATTCCCCACGGATGCTAAGGGACGACTGTATGTACGTGTGTGTGTATGTGTCCTATCTGTCTGTTTCTCTGGAGGATCCTGGCTATTACAATCCTCCAAACCTGGAAAAATGACGAGCTCCCCAACCTTCCTCGTGAAATCTGGGCCTGCCACCAACTTCAAATCGAGGGGACTTGTGTATTTTAGAATGGACTTGCTCCAAGGTTTCAGGCAAGATTCAGGGGCCTGGTTTAAGTCAGGGGAAGGAAGCCCACCTAGAGAGCTCTTGAGGAGGCTGTGAGATGAGCAGACTAAAAATTTAGGAGAGAAATGAGCGCCTAGGATACCTGTCGCCCTCATTCGTATAACTTCGTATAATGTATGCTATACGAAGTTATTACGGTATTTATTGGTACCAAACGTGCTCTATCAGGGGCCTGCAAACTTTTTCTGTGAAAGGACGGATAGTAAATATTTTAGGTTTTGCAGGCCATAAGGTCTCTGTGATGACACTCAGCTGCCACTGTGGCACGAAGCAGGTGTCCCTCCGGGGTGGGGGTTCAGAGGAAGCTGCCCCCCACCCCCCAGAGCATCAAGGCCAACCTGAGCCGGGAGAACGAGGTGATGAAAGAGAGCATGCGCCACCTCAGCGAGCAGCTGAGGCACTACGAGAACCACTCAGCCGTCATGATGAGCATCCAGAAGGAGCTGTCCAGCCTGGGCCTGCAGCTGCTGCACAAGGATGGTGCCGCCACCCCTGCCGCCGCCCCAGCCAGTGGCCCTGGGAGCAGGGCTCAGGTGAGGCCCCAGCTCCGATCACAGGGCCACGAGGCAGCTGGGCTTGGGAGCACAGCGCGCCAGCTCGGTGGGGGTTGGGGCCATAGGACAAGGCTGAGGCTGGCACAGCTGGAGAGTCCAAGGCAGGGCACTGGGGGAGCAGGAGGTACCTGCTGTGCAGCACAGGGAGCTGGGGGCTGGTCCCTAAGCCACCTGTTTGGCAATCCTCTCCCTCCCAAGTTTCCACACTCGTGGGAGTGAGGTTGTGGAGATGACCCTGCCTGCCTGGCCCTGGGAGACCAGGTTGGCTGCAGCAAAACCACTTCTAAAGCCTCCCCTGCTGTGCTTGGGTCCCTGGCTGGGGCAGGTCTGCTCAGGGGCAGTTGGGCAGGGCCTCAGGGACCCCTGCAGACTAATCCCCGTTCATCCAATCCAACCTGGGCTGGAGAACTCCTGCGCCAAACTCCCAGATATTCTGTGTTCAAGCTCAGAGCACAACATGAGCAGAGGCACTGTTTGGTCCCCAGGCAGAGCCACTGTGATAGATAACACACCTTTGTGCAAATTCAAAAAAGGCCCTCCCTTTAGGCAGACGACTTGCGAAAATGGCTGTCTTTAAGCAGACAAATTAGAAAGAGGAGACCCCTTTGGGTGAACTAATTGCACAAAGGCTCCTTCCTGTGAGGGACAGGCCAGGGCATGCAGCTTGGTGAATGTCATGCGGACCAGTCTTCAACCCCATCTGTGCCCCTTCAGCCAGCCACTCAGGGGCAGGACACAAGTCACACCACTGTCCACACTGGCCTCATCTTTTGGTGAGAGGCAGAAGAAGAGAACTGATGTTTGTGGAATTCCTACTCTAAACCTGACTGTCTCACAGACATCATCAGTTCATCCCATAACCATGGGTGGGGAGGACAGATCCCTGCCCATGTGGCAGATGAGGAAACAGGAGGGAAGTCCCATGGAGAGAGGGTGGCCAAGCTGGGGCTGGCAGGTGTGTCTTCGTGATTGCCAAGCCCGCACTCTTCCTCTTTTCTTCTCCACCTGTCACCTCCTGTGCTGACCTTGTGATAATGAGTCCATTTGTGTCTGCAACTGGGTGGAGAGAGGGTGGCCAAGCTGGGGCTGGCAGGTGTGTCTTCGTGATTGCCAAGCCCGCACTCTTCCTCTTTTCCTCTCCACCTGTCACCTCCTGTGCTGACCTTGTGATAATGAGTCCATTTGTGTCTGCAACTGGGACTGCCTAGATGCCAATAAAGCATGGAGGAAGCCTGGTGGCTTGGCCCGGAGCTGGCTTCCTGCTCATGCTGGTGCCAGTTCTGCAGGCTCAAATGAATCCTGTTTGGCAATGACACAGAAGACAGCTAGATACTGTACTTGCTTTATCTGCCGGAGCCTCTGTCTAACAATGGGTGACGTCACATGCCCTACGTCCTTGTACCAAGCCCACGGCAGAGGCATTTCAATAGGAAGTGAAAATAACAAAACTCACAAAATGTTAGAAACTGCATGGCCTAGGGGTAGTGTGACCAACCGTCCCAGTTTGCATGAGACTGAAGATTTCCCAGGGTACAGGACTTATAGTGCTAAAATTGGGAGAATTCTGGGCACCCTGGGATGAGTTGGTCACCCTGCCTAGCGACCCAACAACCTCTCCCCTGCCCAAGTACCAAGACCAATGAGTGAGAGAAAGGCTGGGAAGCTGAGCAGGTGGGTGAGCTGCCTCCCCAGGGGGCTGACCAGTCTAGTCTATGTAAAGGAAGAGAGAACCAGAGTTGGGAAATGGGACAGGAACCTAACCTATCAGACAAGCTTCAAGCCTGCAATGGAGCTAAAGAGCTGAGTGGGGAAACTGAGGCCAACCAGTCATGGACGTAGCCATTATGGAAGGGTAAGGAAAGCTGTGGCTTCATGAGCATGAGGGTTGTTGGGCTTGGAGCAAGAGGACCACTTCCAGCCCCACATGCTGAGCCTCCGTGACCCCCCACAACATCCCTTCTACCATCCCCAAGTCCAAGACTTCCTTTCTCTCCCAGGACACCGCTAGTGGGAAAGGCAAGGATACCAACAAATATGGCGGCATGCAGAAGAGCTTTGTAGACAGGGGTCTACCAAAACCTCCTAAGGAGAAGCTGCTGAAGGTGGAGAAGCTGAGGAGGGAGAGCACCAAGGGCAGATTCCCCCAGCCCACAGCCAAGCCCCGGGCCCTCGCCCAGCAGCAGGGCGTGATCCGGGGCTTCACCTACTACAAGGCGGGCAGGCAGGAGGCCACTGCGGCCATGGCTGGTGAGTTGGGGGGGAATGGGAACCTTGGGGAGAGGGGCTTGCTGATGGATGGCCGGCCCCAGGCATCCCCTCATCTTCTCTGCAGTCAGATGACCCCAGACTTCAGCTCTACTGATTGATTACCTGTTGAGCAGCCTTCACTCACCCACACAGCGGGGATAGCACCCTCCTCATGGGGGTTCTTGGGGATGAAATGATCCAACCTGAGGAGTCACTCGTTCCAGTTTCTTTCCAGTACTTAAAGCTGTCTCCCCGCTCACTGGGCTTTTCTGGATTCATTCAAAGATTTGCCCAAGGTCCACTATGTACCAGGGGAAGGAGAATGACGTAGACAGTCCCTGCCCCTGTGGAGCCAGGAGGTTAGTGGGAAAAACACCCAAGACCAGGCAGCTGCCACAGGTGGGGATGGGAGAACACAGGGCCCCTGGGAGGTGACATGGAGCCTTTGGGGCACCTGTCATTTCCAGACTGGCTGCTCCAGCTTGTCTCACTCCCTATATCCCCAAAGAAGAGCCCAGGGACTCTCCCATTTTTCCGCAGCTCCCTGGTGGATCACAGTGAGGGGCAACAAAGTAATTAACCGAGGAACAAGAGACAAAAGTTGCAAGAGTCCCCAAATCTCTGAGCTGTCCCCACTAGTTGTGGCTCCTGACTACCCCTGAAACCCTCCCCAGATGCCTGCTGTCCTCTGATGTCCCTGAGAGGGGTCTCAAACCTACTGCCCCCCTCCTGGGTCCTGCTGACCACCTCCTCCAGTGAAGCCCTCTGCCCAGCTCATGTCCAGGACAGGGAGGTGGAACAGTTAGGGACCAGTCTCTTTCAAGAATTGCCTTGTTTCTTGGCCCCTTGGGGGCCTCTTCCCCTAGTCCTTGGTGCCAGCTGCTGACCCTGAGCCCTGCCAGCTCAGCCTGGCCACAGCACAGAGTCTCTGACCCCTGGCTGGGCACTGCCCAAGAACAGCTGCAGGCATCTGACTCGGCCAGCAAGGTCCATGGGAACAAGCCCCAGTGCTGGCCAGGCCCCTCTGCGTCCCCCCTGACCAGAGGGACTTTCCCCATCCCTCCTAGGGCCCAGGCTCCAGGGCTGTCCCACAGCAGGGCCCAGCTAAACTCCTGAGCAAAGAGGAAGCCCTACAAGGAGAGAAAAGGAAGAAGTCAGGTCATTGTCCTCAAGTCAAGGGGTCTCTGTGTCCCTCCACCAGCCAACCAGGTGGTCCCCCGGGGGCCGAACCTTCTTAGTAGCAACAGCACCCTTCCCTTGTCGCTGGTGTCACAGTTTTCTGAGTACTTTCACACATGCTGTTGCATTTTATCCTGGCAGCAACTGCATTTTCCAGGAGAGAGGAATAGAAGAAAGTCTGTAAGATGGTAGCAGGGGCTTCTGCCTTCTGGAACTGAATCTGGGAAATGGGAGCGTTGGTACAAAGTGCTTGACACTTAGGAAGGAAAGAGGTCTCACGCTTGGCACCTCACATTCACCAGGATCTGTGCAAATGTTTTATGTACATTTTCCTTCAATCAACACAACGGCCTAATTGATGGGCCTTGTTACCCTCGTTTCACAGAGGTGGAAGCTGAGGCCCACCCAGGCAGGGGGACTTGCCCAGAGCCACCCAGCCAGGGAGTGGCAGAATTGGGCTTGGAGGGCTGGCCCGTGGCTCACTCGGGAGAGTGCGGTGCTGATAACACCAAGGCCACAGGTTCGGATCCCATATAGGGATGGCCGGTTGCTCACTGGGTGAGTGTGGTGCTGACAACACCCAGTCAAGGGTTAAGATCCCCTTACCAGTCATCTTTTATAAAAAAAAAAAAAAAAAAGAATTGGGCTTGGAGCTCGTCTGCTGACCACGAAGTGCTGCCCACCTCCCACTTTGAGTCCTTCACTCCTTCAGGGTGCAGGAGACCCTGAGGAGGCCTCCCTTTTCTCTCCCCCACGGCTGGGAGCCAGTGGGCCTGGGGAGGTCCCAGGCAGCAGCACTTGCCGCTGGGTGTGAGTGCAGGGTCTTCTCTCCACAGACAATGCCCTCAAGGGCACTTCCTGGCTGGAGCAGCCACCATCCAAGGTAGAGGACAGGCCACCCAAGCCCAACTCAGCGGAACAGGATGAGGCTGGGCCCGGGTCCTCAGAGGGAGCGGACTTGGCCCCTGCCACCCCCACCTTGGACCCTGCCACCACCATCACCACTACCACTGTGACTCCCACCACCAGTCCCCTGCCCACCGAGCCACCATCACATCCAGAAGTCCCCAGCCAAGGTAAGTACGCCTCACAGGCCATCAGCAAATTACAGCTATGGCCAGATCCAGCAGCCCATGGCTGCTTCTGCGTGGCTCTCAAGCTAAGAATGTAAAAACATTTTTAAAGTGTTGTTAGAAAAAAGAGAAGAGGGCTGGCCCAGTGGCACACTGCTACAGTGCGCCGCTTGGGAGCGCGGTGGCGCTCCCACCGAGGGTTCGGATCCCACATACAGACCGGTTCCTGCTCACTGGCTGAGCGAAGTGTGGGAGCAACACCGAGGGTTGTGATCCCGTTGCTGGTCCTGGTCCGGTGCGGGCGCGACACTGAGGGTTGTGATCCGTTGCCGGACACGAAAAAAGACAAAAAGAAAAAAAAAAAAGAGAGAAGAAGAGACTATGGGGCAGAAGTGTGTGGTCTGCAAAGCCTAAAATATTTGCTATCGGACCCTTTACAGAAAAAGGTTGCCGGCATTTAAAGTGGTTGTAAAACAGGTGTATTTCCAACAAATTCTTCTTAAAATGTCACCTAGAATCCCATCATCAAATCCAGCAATTATGTTTATTTCTTTATTTCTTCTGTCCAGTCCTTGCCCTGCTTTTATGTCCACATTTATAGTTCTGACTTGTGCCTCATGGTAGAAATCTTCCTTATTTATATATCACCGACCTCATCCTTCTGGAAGGTGTCTTGACTGTCTGTGATAACAAGCCTTCAGACCATTCCCTGCTTTGGTCCGAGTGTATCCCACTTCTAGGAATCTTTCCTGAAGGTTCCACCAGCACCATGGACGACAGCTGCGGTGTCAGTGTTTTCATTACAGCACTATTTCTAATGTCCGAAAATTGGAAATAACCTCAACGGCTGACACTGGGGGGACTGGTTAAATAAATCAAAAGGCACAGCTGTCTGGTGGCCTGGCAGAACCTTGAAATCACATCATTAAAAGGCTATTTAATGATGTGACAAATTGCTCAGAGGAGGGAGAAAACAGGATATATAAAACTATATTCAGAAGAATCACAGTTTTTTAAAGTATGTCTGCATGACTGTACATGCAAAGAAAAAAAGAAGGAAGTACAAGTAAAACATGTTTAAAAATTTCTTTGGATAAAGGAATTTTTTAAGGGTTTTTTTAGTATTTTGTATTTTGTATTTTTTTAAATGACATAAAAATTGTTTGCATTTATGGTGTACGACATGATGTTTTGATAGAAGTGTACATTGTTGGAGTGGCTAAATCAAGCCAGTTAGCACATGTATTACCTCACACACTTATTTTTTGTGGTGAGAACACTTCGTCTACTCTCTTAGCAGTTTTCAAGGACACAATATATTGAACTTATTGCTGCTGTCTAACTGAAATTTTGAGTCCTTCGACCAACATTTCCCGAATCCCCCCAGCCCCTGTAACCACCATTCTACTCTCTGCTTCCATTAGTTTTTTTTAGATTCCACATATAAAGGCTAATGGAATTTTGAATGATCTTTATTTCCTCCGTTCTCCTTTTCCAAATGTTCCATGTTTTCTATAATGATCAAGCACTGCTTTGATCATGAGGAAAGGAGGGGGAAGGCCACAAACAGCACATCAGGAGGGATTTGAGTTACACCCAGATAACGTTCCCAGGACCGTTGCTCTGGCTCAGGGCCTGGAGGTCTGCGTACCAAATGCTGTGCCCTTTGCTCCCCACAGGCAGAGGGGAGAGCTGCGAGGGCACCCTCCGGGCCGTGGACCCCCCCGTGAAGCACCACAGCTATGGGCGCCACGAGGGGGCCTGGATGAAGGACCCTGCAGCTCGGGATGACAGAATCTATGTCACCAACTACTACTATGGAAACAGCCTGGTGGAGTTCCGCAACCTGGAAAACTTCAAGCAAGGTCGGGGACCTGAGAGATGGGAAGGGGACAGGGTGTGGGCAGCCCAAGGAGGGGTCTCCATGGAGACTTGGCCTTCCTTTGCTTTGTGGTTGCCTGTGGTCCAGCCTGGCCTAACTCCAGATTGCCAGCCACCCCAAGGAAGAGAGTGTGGGGGCGCTGGGCTGGGGATCCAGCCAGACCCCATGGCACCCCCTGTGTGCTGGCACCATGTCAGGAACTGGAATGCAGTGGCAAACAAGATGGACGTGGGCCTGCCCTCACGAATGTAACTTACCATCAAGGGGAACAGTACTGAGTTTCCACTTGTTACGTGCTTACTGTGTGCTCTTCATCCCATGCATGTCAGCTCATGGTATCTTCATAACTCCATGAGGTGGGGGTTATCACCTATTTTACAGGTGAGAAGGCCCCAGGACTTAGAGGAGCTGCAGGTCTGGGCAGGGACCAGGATAGGGCTGTGAGCACAGAAAAGGGCAGAACTTTGGTTATCAGGTCCTGGGCATGATGGGGGACAGGGGTCATTCTGTCCCTCCAGAAATCCAGTCTGGTGTGGGAGGCAGAGGCCTAAAGAGACAATTTCAGTACAACTTTCAAGGGAGAGCTCAGGGGACTGTGGGAACCCAGCGTGGAGATCAGAGAAGACTTCCCAGGGGAGGTGACGCTGAGCTGAGCCCTGGAGGAAGCCATACAGAAGGGAGAGGGAAGGGTGTTCCAGGCAGAAGGCCCAGCAGGTGCAAAGGCCTGGCAATGACAGGAAGCCCAGTGGCAAGGGGGTGGGGGATAGTGAGGGAAGAGGCTGGGGCAGACCTCGCGAGCCCCATGGGGGACCTGAGAGCCATGGAGTCACAGAGTGTGGCCTGCAGCTCACAGGCTGGTGGAGGAAGCAGCCCAGTGGCAAGGGGGTGGGGGATAGTGAGGGAAGAGGCTGGGGCAGACCTCGCGAGCCCCATGAGGGACCTGAGAGCCATGGAGTCACAGAGTGTGGCCTGCAGCTCACAGGCTGGTGGAGGAAGCCAGTGATAAGTGCCAAGACAAAGGGATATGGGAGGCTAGAGGAGAGGCCCCTCACTCAGCCTGGGCAGGTCAGGGAAGGCTTCCTGGAGGAGGTAACATTGGCCGAGGGCTCTGAAAGATAAAGCATGCAATCCCCAGGCAGATCGGACGGGAAATGGCAGTCCAGACAGAAGGAACAGCATGGGAAAGACCCTGAGACAATGCACAGGGGCTGGCATCACCCTGCGTCTAAATCCTTGCTGTGCCATCCCATGACTGGGTGACCTTGAACCCTCTGAGCCTGTTACCTACCAGGCAAATGGGATGATGACAGTACCTCCCTCACGAGACTGCTGTGATGTGACAAGATGATTGGCCCAGCTCCAGGCACGTCCTATAAACTCGGGGTCAGTTGCTTTCTGGGCCACTCGAGAGCCCTTGGTTGGTGGTCACAGTGGTTTGTGGGGTGGGCTGGGGATTGTTCAGGTGGCTCTGGTGTGACCCTCTGTCCTCCACATGCAGGTCGCTGGAGTAACATGTACAAGCTGCCCTACAACTGGATCGGCACGGGCCACGTGGTGTACCAGGGCGCCTTCTACTACAACCGCGCCTTCACCAAGAACATCATCAAGTACGACCTGCGGCAGCGCTTCGTGGCCTCCTGGGCGCTGCTGCCCGACGTGGTGTACGAGGACACCACACCCTGGAAGTGGCGCGGCCACTCAGACATTGACTTCGCCGTGGACGAGAGCGGCCTGTGGGTCATCTACCCCGCTGTGGACGACCGTGACGAGGCCCAGCCCGAGGTGATTGTGCTGAGCCGCCTGGACCCGGGCGACCTCCACTCAGACATTGACTTCGCCGTGGACGAGAGCGGCCTGTGGGTCATCTACCCCGCTGTGGATGACCGTGACGAGGCCCAGCCCGAGGTGATTGTGCTGAGCCGCCTGGACCCGGGCGACCTTTCCGTGCACCGGGAGACCACGTGGAAGACGCGGCTGCGGCGGAACTCCTATGGGAACTGCTTCCTGGTGTGTGGCATCCTATACGCCGTGGACACCTACAACCAGCACGATGGCCAGGTCGCCTATGCCTTCGACACGCATACGGGCACTGACGCTCGCCCCCAGCTGCCCTTCCGCAACGAGCACGCCTACACCACCCAGATCGACTACAACCCCAAGGAGCGGGTGCTGTACGCCTGGGACAATGGCCACCAGCTCACCTACACCCTCCACTTCGTGGTCTGAGCGGGGACTTGCACTCACAGGAGAGGGGCAGCAGTGGAGGGGGCTCCCCATAGCAACTCCTGCAACCCATCCACTCAGCAGATATTTATTGGGGGCCAGCAAATATTTAATGGGTGCTGGGTGCTAGGCTTGGGGTCGTAGCCGGGGTAGGGCTTTCGTAGTAGCCATGGGTGAGGCTTGCGTCCACTTGCAGAGCTCTGCACCGAGCCCTGTACCTGCAGTTACCATTCAGTCCTCCAGCACCTCCCTTGGAGGTAGAGGTCATGAAGCCCATGTGACAGCTAAGGAGATGTCACCCTGCTCTCCCCACCTGTAGCCCTCTCCCCCTCCCCTCATCTCCCGTGTTCTCTGAACTCTGTCTCCCTTCCCAGGGCTGCTCAAAACCCCAGGCCTCTGGCATTGCTGCATTCGCATTGGGTGGAGGCCCTGGCTCTGCCTGCCACCGCGGGCCCCTGTTCTGGCTGAGCTGTTGGTGGCCCTGGACTTTGGGCCCTCTGTCCTGCTTCTTGCCTTTGGCCAGCCCCCCTAGCCCACTCCACCCGCTGTCCGGCCACATTCCAAAGCTCTACCATCACCTGGCCCCTGAGCAGAAACCACACCCTGGGAGAAAATACCGGCTCCTGTTCCAAGGCCCCCTCCCTTCTGCACTCATTTTTATTTTCTCACTCCTCGTCAGTGCCGTCACTTGTTTCCGCAGCAGCAGCTGCTGCCAGCAGCAGCTCTACCAGGGCGGCAACTGGGCTGAGGCTCCCTCTCCACCCAGAAACGCTGGCTTTGGCTACATACTCAGGCCTTGTGTCCCCTCCGCAGTCCCTCCCAGAGCCTTTGGGCCTGGGGTCCACTTGTCCTTTCTCTTTGGGCCTTCAAACCCACAACCTGTACACACTCAGGGATACCTCTAAGTCTGCCGTGAACAAGACCCTAGGCCCAAGGCTGGGTGGTGCCAGGACGGAGCCGGTTCGCTCTTCCTTGTCAATCCTGTCCTGGTCCTGTTGTCCCAGCAACCTGGGGGGCTGGAGAAGACAGATGGTCCGAGCAGTTGGGTCCAGGGGAGGCATTGGCCGCCTTCTGGTTGTAGGGAAGAGCCGGAGGACAGAAGCAGGGAGCAAAGGCATGGAGGTTTGGGAACCAGGCTTTCCTGGCTTCAGAGATGCTGGTGCCAGTGCTGCCGCAGGCCCAAGACTGGGGCTGAGGATTCACAGGTGGGCCACCTCACCTGGTGCCGCTGATGGCTCACCGGAGGCTCAGACCCAGGCAGCCCAGAGGACAGGACCTTTAAACCTCTCCTCGCCTGCTTTGGACAGTATTTTCAGAGCTGGAAAGACGTTCTCTAGCCCAACCCCCTGTCTCCCCAAAGAGAAAATAGACCCAGAAAGGTTCAGAGGGTGGCTTAGAGCCACACGGGGAGCAGGATACAGTTGATATCCTTCTAGAAGGGTTTTGTCTAAATCCCTTACCCTTCATGGGGGCAGCTCTGCCTGGGAAGGCAGTAGACAACCTACCCCAGCCATCCTACACTGAAGAGTATTTACTGCTGATCCCCACACAGCCCTGGGCCCTGCTCCCCTCATTCTGCCCCCATGCTGGCTCCCAGGATGCTTGTATATTTGAATACCCTGTTGCCACGTTAGGATTCAGCTGTAATTAGGGGTAAGGAAATGCCTTTGGTGCAGAATACATTTCTTTCGGGCATGTCAGGTGATGTGGTTTTGTTTACGCTCTAACTCACCCTGAAATAAGGGCAATGCTGACACCCAGCCGGGCCAGGCCTGACTCAGTGGTGGACACGTCCAGCTTCCCCCAGCCAACCCACTGCCGTGGGCTCTGCTTACAGACGCTTCAGGGGGCTGCGAGGCCCCGGCGTTTCCCTAGGCCCTGGGCGTGGGTTTTATAAGACTGTGTCTTCTGTGATATCACAGCCCAACCATGTGAAAAGAAAGAGAAGGCCCCTCCTTATTAGTCTGAGAAAAAGGAAAGTTAGAATGGGCCGATTTTGAAAAATTATGATTTGGAAAAGCAGCATTGCTTTCTGGGGCAGGTGATGTTGGTCACAGCCTCACTCACTGGACCCCTTCTGTGTTCAGGCCCTTGCAGCTGGGGTCGGTATGGTCATTTTTCTTATTTTACACGTGATCACACTGGAGCCCAGACCAGTTAAGTCACTTGTCACACAGGCACTTAAGTGGAGAGCCAGGTGTCAAAATCAGGTAATAAAACCATCATCATTAACTGTGCACCAACAGCGTGCTGAGCATGCCACGTGCTTATCTTGGCATCTCCACAGCAGTGGAAGGTAGATGCTTTGGATGTGGCCGGCTGGTTAACTCACTTGGTTAGATCATGGTGCTGATAACACCAAGGTCAAGGGTTCAGATCCCTGTACCAGCCAGCTGCCAAAAAAAATAAATGTGCAGCTCCAGAAATAGTGGCCGTTGCTCTTATCCAGCATGGTCAGGCCACAGACTGCAAGAAGAAAATTGGGGCCAGCTTGTAAAGAGCCTTAAATGCCAAGCCAAGAAGTGCCCACCTCCAATCATGTTTGCACCACAGTCAAGTGTAAATTAACGAAGCAAAGAAAATTGAGGCCATTGGGTTTTGTCCTGTCGGTGATGAGAGGTGGGGAAAGGTTTCTGTTGTGGGGAACTGGAGCCAGCCCGCAACTGCAAACTTGTGAGCTCTGAAGGAATCCTGACCCCACCAGCTTTTTTATTTGGCTTTATTACATTTGGCAACAGGTATTGAAACAAGGAAGGGCCTGCACGGAGGGCCAGTGTTTCTGACCATCCTTGCCTAAGAAAGCCAAAGGCTCTGGTGTTTCTAAACAACGTGACACATGAAAGAGCTTTGGCTGCCGCCTTTCATTCCTTCCTAGAGATTTCAAGGCCTTAAATTTAATCTGTGCTCTCTGGGGAGGAAACAAGAGAGCCTCTGCCTTGGGGGGCAGCACTAAATGTGAGGCTGGGGGCTGGGGGGTGTTCCTAGGAATGATTTGAGGGCTCCTGAAAGCCCATCTGTTCCAAAGCGTTTTCTCCTCTGTGACAGCATTGGAAACCACTGTGGTGACAGGACACGGCACTGGAGGGCCATCAGAGAGTCCTGGGTGGGATTTAGGGAGCCTGGGTTGGAATCCAGCCCCACCTCTTCCATGCTACACGCTTAGGCAAGTTCCTTTGCCTGCAGGCTAGGGATGTTAACTCTCTTACAGCTGAGGACCTGCAGGACACAGGCCTGCACAGGGCCCAAGCAGGACCCTCCTAGAGCTACAAGCATCTTTATATATCCCCTCTGCCCGCCCCTCCCACCACCATCAGCATTATTTTTCCCCATTACAGGTGATGAACCTCATATTCAGAGAGGTTAAGCAGAGGGCCCAAGCAGGACCCTCCTAGAGCTACAAGCATCTTTATATATCCCCTCTGCCCGCCCCCCCCCAACCATCGGCATTATTTTTCCCCATTACAGGTGATGAACCTCAAATTCAGAGAGGTTAAGCAACCTGCTCAGGGTCACATATCTAACAAGTTGTAGAGTCAAGATTTAAACCAGGTCAGTTTTTATACCAAAACCCCAAACTAACCGTTGTTAGGAATCTTGTAACTAGTCATGTTCTCTTCTTTGTTTTGGCCTCTGGGAAGCTCAAAGTCAAGTTTGAGATCATTTTTAACAATAGTACTGAGTCTCCTACTGGACTCACTTTATTCTAGCATTCTACTTTTACTTTTAATCCTGATCTCTTTATTTTTATTTTATTGTACTACATCTATTTCTGTAAGTTGCCACAATACCTTTTTGTGACAAGGTGGCATATACCTAAATAAATACAGGATCAAAGCTTGATTTAAAAGTCTTTACTAAATGCTGTCGTCTGTATCCTTATCATAACACATACATTTAATAACTTAAAAAAAATTGTTTGTCATGAGAACTGACCTTGGGGCTATGCTGCTGCTGGAAGCTAATCTGAATGCTGAGCTGTGCAGATTCCAGGTCAGGCTGAAAACTAGTCCCTCCAGGTAGAAGCGAAGAGCCAGCCGTTCCCAAAGCTGTTCCAACATCACCCTCAGCCCCTTGCACACCTTCTTGTGCTGGCTGCAGAGAGAATTGCAGTGTTGGGTCAGAGAATGTGGGGCTGAGGGAGAAGAAAAAAAGAAATGCTTTCCTGGGAAAAATAGCATATCGTGGAATTGGGGAGGAGGCCTTGGATCATACTGTCCCATGTTCCCCAAACTTGTCATTCACGTGCCCTCTTCATGACTTCTGCCGTTTCCCTTTATCACCTTCAGCATGATTGACTATTTCTCCTTCAGGTAATTCCACTCTTTTTACTGAAATAGTTTTATTTCAAAAGGAAGCTTTATAAAGCTGTTTGCAAAACAAAACAAACTTTAAAAAAATGTGTATTTTAAGGAGGACGGTTTATACTACAACGGTAGAAAGAAGTCAGTGTCAGTGACCACAAATGCGATGACCACAAACCAGGACGCTGCACTGAGAATGAGCAGCGCTGTTGCATTCTGGCAGACACTGTGCTAGGTAGCCCCGGCCCAGGCACCCTTTGCTAAGGAGGATCAGCAAGTGTTCAAGGGACATAAAGGGTAAAGGGGATAGCAAGTGGCTGCAGGTGGACATGGTCCTTCGTGTAGTCAGAGGGTTGGGCTCAAAAGGAAAAGGCTCTCTCCCATGTGACTCAATGGCCCTTTACTCAGTGTCATAGGTACCACCAAGGAGCTGTCTCAAATCGCTGACGGGTGACACAGATTTAGACCATCTCCCCCACACACACAGATACCCTCACTCAGCCAGGCCTTCCCTCCCCAGCCTCTGCTCCCCCCATCCCATCTTCCCCGGCCCAAGACCCCGGCCGGCAGGACCCTCACATCAGCTGTGTGTTCCTTCTGCCTGGCATTTGCACCTGCATCTACGCATGGCTGCCTCCCTCTCAACATTCAGGTTCCTGCTGAAATGTCACCTCCCTAGGGAGGTGGTCCCTCAAGGCTGGGTCTAAAGTTGGCCCAGTCACATGCTCCCCTGTCTCTCTTCACTAAGAGGTATTTATTAGTTGACTTGCTGAGGGTCCCTCACTAGACTCTGAGCTCTGTGAGGGCAGAGCTGGTTCCCCACTTTGTCACCACCCAGAAGACCCTCGACACATGTCGCAGGTGTTAGAACCTTGGGCAATTTCGTGCCATCTGCCAAGCAAGCCACGCTTGGCTCCGAGGTCGTGGCCACCAGATGGGCTACCCTTTCATTTAAGTGTGCAGCAGTGTTTGTTGAGGCCATCAGGTGCAGCACAGAAATCTCTAGAATAAGTCTCAGATTATTAAGGTTGGGGAGCAGACAGGATATTTCCAATGACTCTCTCCTTCCTGAAGTTCTATGAAAATGAGAAAATCCATCTTCAGGGAAAAACACCTGCCTAAAACCCCCACCCTGGTCTGTACCCAACTTCGTGGCCAGCAGACACCAGAAGCTGTGGAGCTCGTGGGTTCCGGGGCTGGACAGACTTATTTCTGACACTTTTCAGCTGGGTTGACAACATCATGTGACAGAAACAGCAGTCACGAGGTTCGTGTGATTTTGTAAGCCCTTTGTGAGATTCCCAGCACCCAGTAGGTGATCAGAAAGCAGTAGCTGCTCTTATGGTTGAGACCGTTAATTCCCTACTCAGAGACTCTGCTGGCTGTCCTGGCAGGTCTGCAAGTCGTGCATGGCGGGCTACACGCGTGTGCCAGGCTCAGGGGCACCACGCTGAGCGAGTCTCACCTTCCCCTTGAGAGCCTGCAGGGAGGTTGGAAGCCACACTTGGCCAATCCCACTCGGTGTTCCTGGTCCTTGCACCTGAGGGGTTCCACGTGCCTTTCTAAGGAGCCTGGGCTTCTATGGAGCCACAAGAGTCACAGGAATCCCCACGGGAGCCACAGAGCAGTCCACATCTCCCAACCCGCTTCTGTATCAGAACAAGGGAGCCTACTCTGGTCACCTCTGATAGGGTGGTCCTCAAAGGTGACCTCTATGCCCTTTCGACTGAGTCACAGGAATCCCCACGGGAGCCACAGAGCAGTCCACATCTCCCAACCCGCTTCTGTATAAGAACAAGGGAGCCTACTCTGGTCACCTCTGATAGGGTGGTCCTCAAAGGTGACCTCTATGCCCTTTCGACTTTCCCTGGGACTTCAAAGCCCTCAAATGCACTCTTGGCCAGGGGGAAAGGAAGAAATAAT